GTCAGCCTTGCTGTTCTGAAGCCATTGCCAACCTGGTGCTCTCCAGATGTTTTCGACTCCCTCTCCCATCAGCTAGGGGTGCCGTTTTCAGTTTCTCTTAGTTTCTGAAACAGAGACATTTTGCATGCAGATCATAGGAATGTAAGAAATGTCACTGGAGAAGACCAGTGGCCCATCTAGTCCTACCCTGGACGGTTAAGTCCAGTCAAAGGCAACTATAGGGTTGTGGAGCTCATCTCGCTTTCAGGCCGAGGGAGCCGGCGTTTGTCCATAGACAGCTTTCCAGGCCATGTGGCCAGCATGACTAAACCGATTCTGGCGGAACAGAACACAGTGATGGAAACCAGAGCGCTCAGAAATGCCGTCTACCTTCCCGCCATAGTGGTACCTATTTATCTACTTGCACTGGCGTGCTTTCAAACTGCTAGGTTGGCAGGCACTGGGACACAGCAATGGGAGCTCACCCTTTCGTGGGGATTCGGACCACCAACCTTCTGATTGGCAAGCCCAAGATGCTCAGTAGTTTAGACCACAGCACCACCCGCGTACAACATCCTGTACTCACACTGGCCAACCAGATGCCCCCAATGGGAAACCCTCAAGCAAGACTTGAGCTCAAGAAAACTCTCCCCTCCTGCAGTTTCCAGCAACTGTTCTCCAGAAGCATTAAGAGCAGGAGAAAAGGCTGCTGGAGCAGACCAGTGGTCCAGCTAGGCCAGCATCCTTTTCTCAAAGCAGCCACCCAAATGCCTCCAATCGGAAGCTGGAAAGCAGGATCTGAGCACAAGAGCGCTCTCCCCTCCTGTGGCTTCCAGCAACAGGTATTCATCAGCCTCACCCCCTCCAATCATTGACATCAGGTGTGCGTGCAGGAGCCAGGCCCTGTGACCAATCGGAGTTTGCAGGACTGGGGCCTTCCTAAGTTTGTTCTGAAGAGGCAAGGCGCGGTCTCACAGGTGAGGCCGATTGGTAACTCACAGGACCTGGGGGCAAGAGCTGGGAAGGGATATAAGGTCAGCATATCCCTTCGGCTCTTTGCCACAGCAACACGTTCCCTGCCCTGCTGTGTTTGGCTCCTTGTTTCCTGACCCTCGGACCCCTGACTTCGTGACTCCTTGCTTCCTGACCCTCGGACCCCTGACTTCGTGACTCCTTGCTTCTTGATCCTCGGACCCATGACTTCATGACTCCTTGCTTCTTAATCCTCAGACCCCTAACCTCATGACTCCTTGCTTCCTGGCCCTCGGACCCTTGGCTTATTGACTCCCGGCTCTCTGACCCTCGACTCTTGGCTTCCTGATTCCTGGCTTCTGGACTCCTGTTCCTGCTCCCACCCCGCCATCTTGCCCCCCGGTCCCGATGTCCCCAGCCAAGACTTTGATCGCCCATGAACCAGTCCATGACAACTGAGGCAGAGCATAGCTGCTGTGACGAGGAGCCTTGTCCAATTCCCCTTTAAAGGTTGGTGGCCATCCCTGCCTCCTTTGGGAGTGATTTTCATAGTTCCTGCTGCCTGAAGGACTTTATTTTGTCTAGTCCCGAAGCTTCCAACATTCAGCTTCATTCAATGCCCGCACGTTCTGGCATTATGCATAATCTTAGAAACTTCTAACAAATCACATCTTACTTAACCTTTTCTCTAAACTAAAAAGTCCCAAACGCTGCAACTTTTCCTCACAACAGAATATTGTGGTCTCATCTTCTTAGGTCGGCAATTTCCCCTAATATATACATTTTTGCAAGGCATCCCCCCAATATAATATATTTTTGTATATCCAACGCACCCACCCACCCCAAAAATACGCATTTTTATACACACTTTACCCTATCATGTGCATTTGTGCAAACATTTGGTTAGAGAACAGCGCTGCAAAAGTCAAAGAAGTGAGGATTTCTAAGGAAAGCTGCCTTTTCGGCTCACGAATTGCTTCTGGGACTGCAAATTAAGTGAGCCTACATTCAAATGTATTTCTCCCACGTCCCTAACCCCCGCCCGACCTCTCTCGCACATACACAATCTTTGCATAGTTGTGGCATGAGAGAGACACTTGCAAATAGCGTTCTCCGTCTCCCATACACTGCATTTAACTTGACAAGCAATTACAGACTCCAAGGACAAAGTCCAGTTTATATATCTCTCTCTGTCCCTAATCTCCTGCTGCTAAGGGACCAGGTGGGGCGAAGGGAGCTACAGGCAGGGGGGGCGGGGGGGAGAGACTTGTCTTATTACCTGGAACATAATTGAACAGGAACGCTATCCCTCTGCATAAATAGAATTTATGCTAGTTAGACTGGCACCAAGGCTATTAAGGAAATTAGTTGGGAGCCTTTTGATAAGCCAGCACATTCATTACGCTCCGGAACACAATTTGCAGGCGTTCACTGAACGTGGATACAAAGTGAAAGAATGCATGGCAGAGGGACTGCTGCTCTTGTGATTCGCTTTCGAGTCCTTTTATTTATATATTGTTTTCAGCCTATGCGGCAGTTTAGCAGCTGCATGATTGGTATCTCTGCCTAGTTATCGGTTCCACCACTATCCTCACAAACAAACAAAAACCCCGCTCTCATTAGAGCTGCAACTGTGTCCACTGTCCATTATTAAAGAACTGGGGTGGATAAAACTGGACTTTAAGAACATCAGGAGAGCCCTGCTGGATCCAGCCAGTGGCCTATCTAACCCAGCCCCCTGTTCTCGCAGTGGCCAACCAACTCCTTATGGGAAACCTGCAAGCAGGATTCCAGCACCAGAACACTCTCTGCTCCCACAGCCTCCAGCAACTAGTGTTCAGAAGCATTACTGCCTCCAATTGTGGGGAGAGAGAGAGAGAGAGAGAGCGCAGCCATCATGGCAAGCAGCCATCAATAGCTTCCTCCTCCATGAATTTATCCCATCCTCTTTTAAAGCCATCCAAATTAGTGACCATCACCGTCTCCTGGGGAAAACGAGCTCCACTGTTTAACACTGCACTGTGTCTTTTCACACCTCATAACCCAACCTTCTTTCTTCTTCTTTGGTGATCACTCGTAGCCGAGTAAGATTGTCTTCCATGAACACGGTTTTAAGTGAGTCCGTAAGTGTCTGTGGAGGCCAATTCTGGATCCACACATCCTTCCACAGTGGGGACAGTGGTTTCCGGGCAGGAGCTGATCATGGTGTGGATTTGCCAAGCGTGCCTTCCTCCTAGCACGTTTCTCCCTTGCGTCCCGAGATCGAGTGTCATCAAAGCCCATGACACCTCTGGTAAAGGCTGTTCTCCAATTGGAGCGCTCGCAGGCCAGTGTTTCCCAATTGTTGGTGTTTATACTACATTTTTTTAGATTTGCCTTGAGAGAGTCTTTAAACCTCTTTTGTTGACCACCAGCATTACACTTTCAATTTTTAAGTTTGGAATAGAGTAGTTGCCTTGGAAGGCAATAATCAGGCATCCGCACAACATGACCAGTCCAACGAAGCTGATGTTGAAGAATCATTGCTTCAACACTGGTGATCTTTGCTTCTTCCAGTAAGGACTGTCCAATTGCTTAAACTTCACCTCAGTCACTGACCTCCCTTTATAGGTTCAGCTGGCCGTGACTAAGGGCTGAGGCTACAGTGTGGCAGTCCCTGTACTGTGGAACTCACTGCTGCTAGAAGTTTGGCAGGAACCATCTCTTCCTTCCCCCCCCCTCCAATGTCTTCTGGAAAAGTGCATCATTTCAACAAGGCATTTGCAATATGAATTATCTCTTTTTAACCAACCAGTATTTATCTATGTTTTAAATGGGTGCTGTTGTTTTAAATGGACGCTATTGCTGGTATTATTCTAACTTTGCATGTTGTATATTGTCTTGATAGGCTTTGGTGAAAGTGTGGAACATAAATACTTTAATAAATAATTGAGTTGCTCTATCATTCTTTCAAAAGGGACGTGGGTGGCGCTGTGGGTTAAACCACAGAGCCTAGGACTTGCCGATCAGAAGGTCGGCGGTTCAAATCCCCGCGACAGGGTGAGCTCCCGTTGCTCGGTCCCTGCTCCTGCCAACCTTGCAGTTTGAAAGCACGTCAAAGTGCAAGTAGATAAATAGGTACCCCTCTGGCAGGAAGGTAAATGGCATTTTTGTGCGCTGCTCTGGTTCACCAGAAGTGGCTTAGTCATGCTGGCCACATGACCAGGAAGCTGTACGCTGGCTCCCTCGGCCCATAGAGCGAGATGAGTGCCGCAACCCCAGATTCGGTCACGACTGGACCTAATGGTCAGGGGTCCCTTTACCTTTTTATCCTTCTTTCAGCAATATTTGCCAGTCTTGGACTTTATGCTCCTTGATGCTCCCCTGGTTGTGCATGACAGCTTCACAACATACCATAAACACATCCTTCATTTCTTATGCTTAAGATCGACCATGAAGGTGACCAAGGCTGGTTGAGTTCCAAAGGCAGGTCTGAACCCAGATGGTAGTGGATCTAGATTATTGGTCTCATCTAGAAATGCTTGCAGTTGCTCCACAAACACCCTCTCCACCACCTTTGCCAAGGAAGGGATGGCGGCGGCTGGTCTGTAGTTGTTACACTCCATAAGGCCTAGAGTTCCGGTCGCTGTAGAGTTTAGAAAACTTCAGAAAAGGGCAACTAAAATGATGGTGTGACTCCCCTACAAAGAAAGGCTGCAGGTACTAGGGAATTAAGGAGCCAGTGTTTGTCTGCAGACAGTTTTTCCGGGTCATGTGGCCAGCATGACTAAGCCGCTTCTGGCGCAATGGAACACCAAAACCTGAGCAGCGCACGGAAACGCCGTTTACCTTCCCGCCGAAGCGGTACCTATTTATCTACTTGCACTGGTGTGCTTTCGAACTGCTAGGTTGGCAGGAGCTGGGACCGAGCAACGGGAGCTCACCCTGTCACGGGGATTCGATCCACCGACCTTCTGATCAGCAAGCCCAAGAGGCTCAGTGGTTTAGACCACAGTGCCACCTGTGTCCCTTAAAGAGGATTAAACAATGGCAACTGATGGCTACAATGCTTCTGAGTAGCTCAGTCAGTAGAGCACGATACTCTTTATCTCAGGGTCATGGGTTAGAGTCCCACATTGGGTGAAAGTTCCTGCATTGTGGAGGGTTGGGCTAGGTGACCCTCATGGTCCCTTCCAACTCTACAATTCTATAATTCTATGATTCTATGAATACCAGTTGTTGGGAAGCACAGGAGGGAAGTGTTTTCTTGGGCCCAGGCCCTGCTTGTGGGATTCTTGCAGACATGTGAATGGCCACTTTGAGAACAGGATACTGGACTAAATGGCCCAATTTCCTGATCCAGCAGGAACCTCATCTTATATTCTTTTTTAAAAAATATTTTTATTGCTCAATTTCCACGTAACAAATTGTCAAATCATATAACCACCTACATAATTTTCCCCCTTTCCCCCACCAACTAAGGACTTCCCTCAGCTCCTCTCCCTGATTTTGCTGCACATATTTTCTCTGCATATTATTAAATTGTATATCTCCTTACATATCTATCCATCCTATTATCAACAATAAATTTGTGTATGTTTATTCAAAACCTGCCAAGGAGTCCAATTCATTTTGTTGTCTTTTTAAGTAATATGTGAAAAGTTCCCATTCTTCTTTAAAGTCACAGTTGTCCTTGTCCCGCAGTTTGTATGTCAATTTAGCCATTTCTGCGTAGTTCGTCAATTTCTCTTGCCATTGTTGTTTTGTCGTGGTTTCCTCATTCTTCCATCCTTGTGCTATCAAGACTCTTGCCGCTGTTGTTGCATACATAAATAAGTTCTTTGTTTTCCTTGGCAGGTCTTGTCCTACAATCCCTAACAAAAATGCTTCTGGTTTGTTTACAAATGTCATTTTAAACATTTTCTTCAATTCATTATATATCATTTCCCAATTATTTTTAACTTTCTACATTCCCACCACATATGATAAAAAGTCCCTTCTTTTTCTTTACAACATGTATTTGACCCAGTTTTATACATTGTTGCTATCTGTACTGGTTTTATATACCATCTATACATCATTTTCATATACAGTGGTACCTCTGGTTACGTATTTAATTCGTTCCAGAGGTCCGTTCTTAAACTGAAACTGTTCTTAACCTGAAATACCACTTTAGCTAATGGGGCCTCCTGCTGCCACTGTGCTGCCGCTGCACGATTTCTGGTCTCATCCTGAAGCAAAGTTTTTAACCCAAGGTACTATTTCTGGGTTAGAGGAGTCTGTAACCTGAAGCGTATGTAACCTGAAGCGTCTGTAACCTGAGGTACCACTGTAGTTTTCTTTCAAAAGAGAACAGTCTGTAAATTTTAAATCTGTTTTCCACAGTTTTTCCCAGTCCTCAATTTGTATGTTGTGTCCTATATCTTGTGCCCATTTGATCATGACCGATTTTACCTCCTCATCTTTTGACCTCATCTTATATTCTTAATGCAGGGACCTCATCTGATCCAAGGCCTTTTCTGGCATCTCACAAACAACCAGTCTTGTTCCTCATCGCCCTGCTACAGCTTGAGCAGCAGCCCCATGTCCCCAAAATGTCAAAGGAGTCAACGAAAAATGAAAACCAGTCCTTTCCCCCTCCCCGTGCCACGATGTGCATCTGGGACTTCTCGTTGCGAGGCTTGGAATCAGCAGCGGAGGAGCTCATCTCTGACCTGCACTCAATCATCCTGCCACCACTCTCGACCATTACTCAAGATGACAGAGCAGCTGAAAAGAAATGACTGTCTCTGTCGACGATGCAAAGATGGGGGCGACATTTTATGGGACTTTCCTCCTTGGGCTCAAGGTGATTGTCGTCGTCAACAACAATGGCTGAACCTTGAGAAAAGTTCCCACTAGAATCTGGGTTCGGGCAAGGCAAGGGGCAAAAGTCGAAGCATTTGTTGGAACATGTCTGTGGAGGAAAGTGGGTTCCTACCTTCCTGTTTTCGAGGTACCCTGTCATCTTTGGATGAAGAACCTCTGCATGTTGGGGACAGAGGCATCAGGACAGGCAGTTAGCTTTCTGTGGAGCTGTGCAAACTAGGAGTCAGAGTCAGTCTTACCATTATTATTAATTAACATTACCATGGTGGCTAATATCTTAACTCCACCATCCCTCACAAAGCAGCCCAGAGAGGCATGCAACGAAACAATGCACGTTAATGCTGAAAAATAAATCATAACTAATTATTTCAAAGTGGCCAAAAATCTCTCAACCACACAAGGTCCAGGTGAACAGGAATGTGTTTAAATTCCACATAAATGTTAATATGGGGGCACTGTTCCTTCTAAGAACCCACTCCTAGACATTTGTGGGGCCACAGGTGCTTTGGAGGAGGCTATCCTGTCCCAGAATTCAGCCGAGATAGGATGTTGTGGGCCCAGGAAGTGAGACATTGACTGGGAGTGGCTACTAAGACCATATAACACTGGTCCTGAAAGACCTACATTGGCTCCCAGTACCTTTCCGAGCACAATTCAAAGTGTTGGTACTGACCTTTAAAGCCCTAAATGGCATCGGCCCAGTAGACCTGAAGGAGCATCTCCACCCCCATCGTTCAGCCCGGACACGGAGGTCCAGCTCTGAGTGCCTTCTGCTGGTTCCCTGCATGTAAAAAGTGAGGTTACAGGGAACCAGGCAGAGGACCGTTTTGGTAGTGTCTCCCTCCCTGTGGAACGCCCTCCCATCAGATGTCAAGGAAATAAACAACTATCTGACTTTTAGAAAACATCTGAGGGCAACCCTGTTTAGGGAAGTTTTTAATGTTTCATGTTTTATTGTGCTTTTAATATTCTTTTGGGAGCCTCCCAGAGTGGCTGGGGAAACCCAGCCAGATGGGCGGGGTATAAGTTGCTGATTATTATTATTATTATTATTATTATTATTATTATTAATTACAGTGGTACTTTGGGTTACATACGCTTCAGGTTACATACGCTTCAGGTTACAGACTCCGCTAACCCAGAAATAGTGCTTCAGGTTAAGAACTTTGCTTCAGGATGAGAACAGAAATTGTGCTCCGGCGGCACGGTGGCAGCAGGAGGCCCCATTAGCTAAAGTGGTGCTTCAGGTTAAGAACAGTTTCAGGTTAAGTACAGACCTCTGGAACGAATTAAGTACTTAACCCGAGCTACCACTGTATTGGAGTTCCTTGTTAAATCCACCACCACTCTCTATCAGGACTAAATCAAGAGAGAGACCCGGGTGTTGATAGTGAATCCCTCCCTTTTTGATCTGCATTGGGGGTTGATTTATAGCTTGCACCACAGATCACCTTTAAAATCCAATTTGGAGGCTGATGTATCGTTAACTAAAGCCTGGTGTAGCCCACAGCGCCTTGGCAATCGGGGGCCGGCGGCCGCCTCGCCTGGTTCCCATACATTACCATTCCCTTCCAATTTGGTGTCACTTTTCCCAGCGCAAGACACCTGAGCCACACAGTAATTCTTGTCGTTCTTTGTTTGGTGAGGGGGTAATTTCCGTGTTTGTTTTTCGCCGGCCTCTGGATAACGCAGGCAGGATTTATAACACATGTGTTGTCCTCAGGCAGCTGTAAAGTGAAAATGGGGAAGCAATGACTCCTGTCTCGCTGCACACCGCTACCCAGAGAGTAGCAGAGATGGAGGCAACGGGCATCTGTTGCGAAGATGGACAGTTTTAATACCTTCCGAGAGCCTGAAGACATTTGCCTGCTGAAGGTGGCACTGTGGTTGCTGCCAGTAGCGTCGCACCTGGACACTCCCTTTCTGATATTTTTATTATTTCCCCTGATGGCTCCTTCTTGCTTAAGGCCCAGCAAGTGAGAGGTGAGGATGGCATCGATGCACGAAGGTGTCTCAGCACAAAAGCATTTTCCTAGTTACTTTAAGAAATGTATACACTGCTTGACTGAGGGAGAGAAAAAACACCCAAAACTGATTTACAACGAAAACAAAACAACAAAATGATTGGTGATGTCAGGGAACTGCCATCGGACAGAAGGGAGGTGAAAGGGCTCACACAGGTTGGGAGAGACGCAGCAGCTGAAGAGGGAACCAGCAGGGAGGTGAAAGGGCTCACACAGGTTGGGAGAGACGCAGCAGCTGAAGAGGGAACCGGAAGGGAGGTGAAAGGGCTCACACAGGTTGGGAGAGACGCAGCAGCTGAAGAGGGAACCAGCAGGGGAGAGGAGCTGAGCTGGAGGGATGGCTCAGAGACACTTCCAGCGAAAACAGTGGGGAGGTTTCAGGACCTCCTGTAAGAACACCCACTCCTCGCCGGAAACTGTCACGCAGAGATTCCAGAAGACGGGTTTCCGTTAAGGAGCTTTTATGTTGGAAGCGATTACGAAAGCAACCACTGTCGGAATCTGCTAGTGACTAGAGTAGCCATGTCTGAGGGGCTCCGTCACAGACAGAGGTTTGTGGACTTGAACAAACTCTGAGGGGATACGATTTTACGCACAAGCAGCTCATCATCCCATCACAGCATTCCGACAGTCTTTGAAAGCAGCTTGTGCAGGAGAAGGCATCATGAGCAACCCAGCCGGAACCGGAGAAGCAGGAGCTGGAGCGGGTCCAAGCCTGGAAGAAAGGTACCAGATGTTGGAGGTCCAGCTAGCGATGCAGACGGCGAGGCTTGAGGAGAGGAGGGCTCTGGATGCAGACAAAAGGGGAAAGCCACCCAGTTCGCCAGAAAGGTACCAGGATTGGTGCAGAAGTTTGGGGGAGCCCAAAACTATCATGGTTTTCGGACAGAAATGCAATATGCCCTCAATCTGCAGTTTGATGAATTCCCTGACGAGGAATCACGAGTGGCTTTCGTGATTGAGCATCTTGAAAAGGGGCGAGAGACTGGGTTAGACCCCTGATGGCAGCTAATAGTGACGTCTTAAAGGACACGATGAAGTTCTTTCGCGCCATGGATCTGATGTTTTCCAGCGATATTGAAAAGGGAGTGGTGCGCAGACAGTTAATGGGTTGCAAACAGGGGAGCCGATCTGTCCGTGAGTACTGGACTGAGTTCACCATGCTTGTTCACAGATTGGGGTGGGACTTATCGGCGGAACCCATTCAAATGCTCTTTGAAGAAGGGCTTTCTTCGGCTGTGAAAGACGAACTTT